TATACTCTACACTGAACATCTCATTTTGCAGTTGAATATAAGTCAAATTAAAAGAGCACATTTTTAGAAATAATACTTAGAAACCATTTACAGACTGCTAAAGAACATTTCACGGACCATAGTCCAATTTCTAGTGTGTTTGTACTGAAATTAATGTTTATACATATTTGACAAAAAAAATAATCATACACTTTACCCCACCTCTTCGTCAAAACACTGTAATGTTATTACATCATACAACTTAGTAGAGGTACTTTATACTGAGCATTACTAACCAAGTGCTCTCAAGAAAATAACTAATCCATTTATGTTAGCATTAACTAATCTGGGGAATGATCAGGTGTACCTGCATTTCTAGAAAGGGAAGGTAAACTGTGCACCCAGTGGCAATATACATGAGACTGCAACTAATTATTGGTATCAGATATGAGTGATAATGTGGCAGTGACCCTAGGTGCTAAATTCAATCTCAGGGCTGAAAGGGCCAGATATGACTGTTTTCCTTCAACATTCACTTCATTATTCAACCTTTTAATGTCTCTTTTATCAGACTGTAAAGGATAAGAAGGTCATAGTCTGTCAAAGAGAAGTAGCAAAATTACTCTGGGAGTAAGAGAAAGTGGGTCAGAAACTCCCTATAGGCAAGAGTGATGGGGAAAAGATGATGTATTTTGAGATGATCAAGGAAACTGTGACTCTAGATGTAGAGAAGGTGCATGCTGAGCATGTGACTGAGGCCAGAAATGAGGTGAGGCAAACGTAGCTGAGTTTCTCATAATGGGGGCTGATGTGATATTTGCTCATGAGTTTCCTTGAGATGAGAAAAAAATTAGCAGTGAGGAACCTGGCGTGGGGAGAATGACCCAATTTTAAGCTATATTTTATCCTGAGAAGTCAAAGGTTCTGAAGGCCAAGAGCCCCATTACCAGTGTGGTTCAGAGGTAGGAGACACAGGCCACCTTTAGGGCATCATTCCTATTATCTCCATCCCACTCTTGCCTTTAGCTAAGGACCAAGAAGGAGAAGACCAGTGACACAAAAGTTGAAGTGTGGGTTCAGAAAAGAAGGATTTGAGGTTGTTTCCTGCATCCTTAGATTTGCCTTACTCAAAGCATTTTCATTAGTCACAAGATTTCTTAATCAAAAGGTGTGAATCAGAAATGAAAGCTAAAATCATAACCAGGAGCTGCTAGCCTCCAAACTAAACCTGGAAACTAGAAACACCTGAACATCCTGCAAGTAACCAACAAATCCTGCCATATTTGAATCAATAGCTCATATACGAAATAAAGTCCAATAGAATCATTAATTCTTTCTTAAGTGACATATGAAACAGCAAAATTGTGGCAAGCTTCTTTGTAGTGGAATAATTTTGGAAATATAGGATAGCATTCAACTTGTTTTATTGTACCTATTGGAATATAAAAATGCTAGTGTTACAAGAAACTCATCAAACTAGAAAAAAAAGATTCAACTTTTCCTGTTTTCAAAAAAAAATCAAGTCTTTTCTTTGAAAGATCTAGGGGGAAATTCTTGGCCTAAAATTAATAGATAATGTTCCAAAATTTCTAGGAATTTACATTTTGGGGTGCTGGTCATTGTGGCATCAGTTTCTCAAAACACACTTTCCTCAACAAAGTAGATTTCAATCCACTTTTTTGGTGAGGCAAATCTATCCATTCTATAAATCAAATAGTCAGAATTTGGATTAAATTGAACTCCACGTTAAAATGGCAACTGGGACACTTTGTTTCACCATAGAGTAACTCAAATCCCAATGATTGTGAGAGTGAAATGGGTCTTAAACTAAATAATAGTCTATTTACAAAACCACTTTTCAATGCAGACAATAGTACCCCAGACTTGTCAATGCTTTCCTAAGTTTAGATATTTCTTCATATACTATTTTATGTAGTCAACACCATGATCTCATATTAATGAAAGAGCAGATATTACTCAGGTCATTTTACAAAATAGGAAAACTTAGAAATGGAGGTAACTCAAAATTTTCCCAATATCACCATGTAAGTCGAACGGGCACTCCACTCCAAATTTCATGGCACCTACTCTAGAATTAACATCATCAGGTTTAGTCAAAACCAGAGGAGCTTTAAACATGGAAAATGTTCGTGACATCTTCAAAATGTGGCACCAAGATGGTGAATTGATTTTTGATAAAGGTGCTCAGTCACTTCAAAGAAGGAAAGAACAATCCTTTCAATAAATGGTACTGAGACAACTGGATATTTATAAGCAAAAGAATGAAGGAGACAACTGGATATCCATAAGCAAAAGAATGAAGGAGAAAGCCTACCTCACACCAAATGCAAAACTTAGCTCAAAATGGCTTATCGACCTACAGTGAAAATTTTAGACTTACAGAGGAAAACAGAGCAGTAAATCTTCTTGATTTCACCAGTGATTTCTTTGATATGGCAACAAAAGCACAAGTGACAATAGAAAGGCAGATAAATTGAACTTCATTAAAATTAAAAATCAAAACTTTTGTGCTTCAAATGGCAGGCACCACCAAGAAAATGAAAAGATAACTCACAGAACAGAAGGAAATATTTGCAAATCACATATCTAATAAGGCACGTTTATCCAGAATATGTAAACACATCATACAATTCAATAAGAAGACAAATGACCCAAATTACAAGCTAAGCAAAGGATCTAAACCAATCAATCCATTATCTGCATATTGATTGCCGGTGATAACTACTTGCTCCATTATATTTTGCCCTGTCTCATCTTGGAAGTTCATTTTCACTAGCCATTCACTGAATGATTCTTGAGTACCTGCTCTGTATCAGGCATGGTGCTAGGTGCTTGGATAGATACCTCATTTAATACAACCAGATGAAGATCCCTGCCCTTATGGAGCTCACATCCCATCAGGTTTAGCTTGATTGTATTCTCAAGTACAATTTAGCTCTTAGGAGTTCTTCCAGTAGGTACTTTTCAAGTCTAAAGTTCTGTCAAAGAAAAACTAGATTAGGACAGTAGTTAAAGCTATAAAAACAGATTTTATTCAGGACTATTACTATGGGGGAAAAGAGACATCACTATAAAATGGGGCTCAGCTCCCAGTACCACACAGACAAATGGGTTTCACAGCCAAGGAGCATGATGGGGGGAGGGAATGGGTGTATGGAAAATTACTAAGAGGAAACATCAGAGGCAACAGGATTCTTGCTGAAGGCAGGCCATGGTAATTAGACATCACCTGGGACATGGTGAATGACGAAGATCAGATATTGAGGGTAATCAGATACGAAGAATAGAGTAAAAGCAACTCAGCATAGTTCTTGCTAAAACTGGATTTTACAAGGCAGTGCATGCATGGTCCTAGAAGAAGGTCCAGGAGCCTAAAAAAAGTTTGGTGAAGCAAAGAATCATTGTCAATGCTCCTTTCCAGAAATTTTACTTCCTCCATCATAATGTGCTCATGTTATCAATATGGTCCCATCCTTTTCACAGCTTGGTTGTGGTCAGTTATTAAATTTAGTCTCAGGTTAAAAGGAAAGATGAGAAATTTATTAAGTGTGAGTTTCAAATAAATGTCAATAGACAGCTAAATGTATTTGAGAAATCTCAAAGGGAACTAGAAATAATGACATAAAAGTAACAGTAAGAGAAATTGAGCCCAGTGATTATCTTCCTTGAAATATTAGTCTGAGTTCACATCTATACTTCTCAGTCAATGCATTTAAACATTTTTTCTTTGTTATTTAAACAGATATTTAGCAAGTACCTCTGTGTGCTAATCTGATGTAGAACATAATCTCATGGTTTGCTGCAAATGACTGATGACCTTCATCTTTTCTATAAGAAGATGTCTTAAGTAGTCTCTATGTTGTGTCTAGTAATGATCAGGGCTAAAATTCAAGGCATCCCAGACCTCTGGACACAGGATATGGTTTCTCTGAAACAGTGTTTCTCCAAGCAGTGAATTTTTATCCTGAACTCATGACCCTACTTCCAGTTTATCTCATTCAGATAGAATGAAATTACTTCAGCTAATGTCTCTCAAATCAAAAGGGCTAATGACTGAGCCATGTCTCCTCTCTAAAATATGCTAGAATAATCAGTATCACTGTCATTCTTCATAACATTGCAACTTCTCCTGTGGCTGTGTTAAAATAATAAAACTCATGCATGCTATCTCCATCTTCCACAACTGTGATTTCTGGGTTCTGTTTGTGAATAAGCATTTCAGAATTGTCATGAGGTAGAGGAAATAGCATGTGCAGATTATTTCCCAAGCCCAGTTGCCAGGAATGAGCTAATTGCAAGCCTCCCTTGCATACAACTAGTCTCGAAAGCTTCAAATATAGGCCATTCTGGAACAATCCTCCTTTCCGCAAGAGTGGTATGCTTTCATTGTAGGACCTTAGTCTTTCAGAGTATACAAGGAGTAAAATTTGAAATCACGTCACAAGATTAATCAAATATTGAATTATTTTTGTGTTTTTTTATGCTTTCTAGTGATTAAATATAAAATGTATATCTGTATGTAAAATAAATGTGATTTAAGCTTGCTACATTGCTTTTGGAAAATTTGTTCAGAAGACATTGATAGTAATATATCCTCCATAAAAGAATAAGATTAGTTGTTTTTCTAACTTACCTTTATATTTAACAGGAGAAATTTGATACATTTTAAAATAGAAAAGCAAGACTTGCAAATATATTTTATATCATATGTCAACTTATATCTGATAAATGTCTGCATATGTGTTGTGTTAAGAAAGATTCAAAGACTGAATCTGGCTTAGCAGAAAAGACTACCGTCATTGGATGTGACATTTTTCAAGGATGCAAAATAAGAGTGGGCATGTAAGTCCTATATTCACCATCCTTGCATAATTTGAGGAAGAGTTTACATTTAAAACATCTTTTCAAAGATTACTCAGAACATACTAGTCTGCACTAAAAATGGCATTAAACTGAAAGCAAAGGTCAAATTAAGACTTACCATTCTGCTTCTCCTGTAGGTCAATGCATCACGTCAAGAAGCCAAATTGACAGAAGAATGTGATCTTCTCATTGAGATCATTCAGCAGAGACGGCAAATTATTGGAACCAAGATCAAAGAAGGGAAGGTATGAGTACTTGGGTAGAAAATTTCATATTCTCTACATGGAGAAAAAATATTCCCATACACTTCAATGGCTTTGGAAATGTTTAAAACTCTCTATTACTGTACTTTCTATAATTCCTTCTTAGGTCTTTAAGACTTAGTTCAAAGGTCCTTTCTTAGTAATTTTCTTCTCCACCATTTTCTTTGTATTATCATGGTCTCCTTTGCATACCTGTGATACAAGGACTGCTCTCTTGCCCAACTCCAGGGAGTGGCATGAAAGTCTTGGCTATCATGGCCATTGTTTTCTATCTCGCTTCTCTATGAGAAGGTGGATTCCATGGAAACAGAGTTCATTTCATATTTATTGCTATATCCCAGCAATTAGCATCATATTAAATAAATTAAAAATAAATCAGACATAATATATAGAAATGATGAGATACTTTCCCTTGTCCTTGAGAGAATTGATACAGGTAAACCTTATAGAGGCAAAACTCTTATAGTTTTGCTATATCATATACAACTTTGTGGATATATTAATAGTACTTCTTTTTGAATGTTTATATGTTTTAATTTCTTATTGTTTAACAGCAAATTATACACAAAAAGAAATTTATACTATATTCTTTATGGCCACTTTCTTATTTATTCAAAATTCATTCAGAAACTGTTGGTAACTTTAAATTCTATCACTTTATTTTATTTTTAAATTAGTCATATTTTTATTGAGATACTTATGATTCTTTTTATTTTACCTATTTCTCTACCACCTTCAAGGGATAATTTTTCTAAATATTTTTTAAAATAGACAATCCATTTATAATCCAAGAAATCCATGTGTTTCTATTATTATTGCTCATAACTACAATGAAATATATATTATTAAAACATTTCATTATAGTTATGAGCAATAATAGTAGAAAGCTAGTACAGAGTAATGAAGGGTGTCTCCAAGTTCCAGCCATGATGGTATATGAAGTTCATGCTTTGGTGCAATTGCTCTACCCCAAACATATGTCAGTAATAGAGAACATAAGAAAATGGAAAAGCAGAGAGACATAGCTGGCCTGAAAACAAGATAAATATCTCTGTGGGCCAGAAATGGGACAAAACTGCAAAGCCATGACTGTTGCGGGAAACGGCTACTGGGATTTGGTCTGGAAGAGGCTGAAGCAGCTATAGCTTCAACTCTTATGGATAAATCATTTTTGAAGCTTTGGGGAAACGACGTAGAGGTGCTCCAGAATGAATGGGAAACTGAAATCAGACTGATCGTTTGATGCCAAGAGCTGTAGAAGGCCTCACACTTCATGAAAAGAGACTGAAAAAGATTATTGCCAACCTCTACCTGGTGTTAGAGCTTTTAGCAAAGTAAAGTTGTTAGGTTGGAGCCTGTGTTCGCCCTGTTTCTAATACCCACACAAAACAGGAGCCTCAGAAACACAGAGATAAGGATAGGATTCCTGAATGGTGAACGTAAGGGCCAGATGAAGGCAACTGCAAAACCATAGAACAGGAGAGGGAAAAGAATTATAAGTGACTTCTCTTTAAACAGAAACTCTAAGCCCAATTCCAAAGTATATAAAGAAATCTTAAATTTCTAAACACACTGCCAAGAAAATCAGCAGACAACATTATCTTACCCAAGATGAAATTAATTTTATGGGAAAATGTGAAAAAGACTTTAAAAGAAGTGGTCTTAGGATGTTCAAAGAGATAAATGAAGGAATAACTTCCAATTAAAGAGAGAGGAATAAAAGTAAACCACAAAAAAAGGAAATGAAATTTTAAAAATAGATAGGAAAGCAGTTAATGAGCAGTTTGGGGAAAAAATATAGACACTGAAATTAAAAAGAAAACTCAGCTGCACTGGAAATTTGAAAACTGAGTTTTGTCCTTTACCTTGGGAATTTCATAAATATAGGACATTAATGTCGAGTGACGTTAAAGCATGGCAAATGCTCATTGACTTTGAACTCAAAAAATAGGAAAGTATGTATAAAAAACTACACAAAGGACATTAAAAAATAATCACATACTTGGTTGGAAGCAAATATTTCAACAAACTTCAAAGACTAAATTCCATACAACCTGTTTCAATGACCATACACTGTATCTAACTAGATATAATCACGATTAAAATAATAGTTTTTATAATGTTTTCAAACTTGAAAACCTATTCTGATATAAATACATTTTCACAATAACATTGTTTTTAATTTAGAAGTAAACTACAATAAAATAACTATATATCAAATGTAATAAGTAGCAAAAAGGTATTTGAAGGCAAACTTATAGCCTTCAATTCTTTAAAAAACAAGAAATGAAAAAGGTATTAAAAGATAAAAAAAACCTTTCAAATAAAGTTAGAAAAAACACAACAGAAACAACCCAATGAAATCAGAGGGAAGAAAATAAGAAACAAAAAAAGAAGTAAATGAGAGAAAAACAGGAAACAAATAAGAGCAGTTGACAGCAAATAACAGGTCACAGCCTAACTTTGAAACATCTGTGATTAAAAATAATTTTCCCCCATTTTTAAAAGGTTGTTAAAAAGAAAAAGCAAAGATGTATATATGGCAGAGACAGTATGTAGTCTTCAAAGCCTAAAATATTGACCACTGGTTCTTTACAAGAAAAGCTTACCAACTCCTGATCAGAGGATTCATGTATATAAAAAATAATTTTAAAAATTTTTAAATTGGAGCCGGGCTCGGTGGCTCAGCCTGTAATCCCACACTTTGGGAGGTTGAGGTGAGTGGATTGACTGAGCCCATGGGTTCGAGACCCACCTGGACAACTTGGCGAGACCTCATCTCTACAATAAATCAAAAAATTAGCTCAGAGTGGTAGCACGCGCCTGTAGTTCCAGCTAGGTGGAAGGCTGAGGCGGAAGGATCGCTGGAGCCCAGCAGGTCGAGGCTGTGGTGACCAGGAGTGGCCACTGCACTCCAGTCTGGGCGATAGAGTGAGACTCCGACTCAAAAAAAAAATTTTTTTTTTAATTGAAGAAAATTGTATGAATGTTTTTATGTCAATAATTAGAAAATGTTGGCAAAAAAGTAGTAGAAAACCTGAACAACTAAAAATTAAAAAACAAAAAATATATGATCATTCATTGAAAATCTCCTTCAACTCACATCCCTCTCCTCCTCCCAAAAATGGCACCAGGCCCCCACTGTTATATAGCTTATTTTAGCAGAAGTTCAAGAAAATGATAATCTCATTCTCATATAAAATGCTTCAGAAAATAGAAAAAGATATATGTTATGCAGATGGTATGATCTTGATAACAAACACAGGCAACATTAAAAATTCATGGGGGGGACAAATATCACTTATGAATATACGTGCAAAAATATTTTTTAAACATAAGAAAATTGAATCCATTGGTGTTTTTTAAAAAACACATTTAAAAAATAGACTTTTTTCCTAGAATACAAGGATGGCTCAATTACAGAATATCTATTAACATAACCACATTGACAGAAAATATATATATACGGTCCCTGGACAGGATGGACTTTTTAAGCTCAAGCAATACAAAACAAGAACATAAAGCAAAGACTGAAACATTTGACATAGAACGAGATCAAAATACAAAAATCAATTTTATTTCAATATATTAGTAACAAGTGGAAATTTAAATTTAAAAAAAGAAATTCCACTTAAACAGGCCTCACAAATATGAAATACTTGGTGATAAACCTGACAAAGAGTGGGTGAGACTTAAAAAACCCTAAAAACTAAAAAATATTGCTGAGATAAATTAAAGATGTCTTAAAACAATGAAAATTCATACCATGTTATAGGGTTAAGATTCAGTACAGTTATGATTTCTGCTCTCTCCATGTCAACCTATAGATTCAAGACAATCTCATTGAAAAAGCCCAGCAGGTTATTTGGTAGAAATTGGCAAGCTGATTCTAAAGTTCATATTGAAATGCAAATGATATATAGTAATCATAGCAAACTTTGAAAAATATTAACAGGGTTGGAGAATTAACATCAGCTGAGTTCAAGATTTATTATAAGGCTCCAAAAATCAAACTAATATGATATTTGCATAAAGTTAGACAAATAGATCAATGGATCTTGAAAAAGTACTTCAGAAATAAATTCACACACATATGGACAACTGATTTTTGACACAGATGCGAAAATAATTTCCATGGAGAAAGGATAGTCTTTTAAATAAATGGTGCTGGAGCAATTAGATATCTACATGTAAGAATATGAAGTTCTCTGTCCTCTCAATAAATCCTGCTTTCTCACTTAAAAAAGAAAAGAATATGAAGTTTGATTTGTACTTCACATTATATACAAAAAATAACTCAAAATGGATCATATACCTAAAGGTAAAAGCTTTAAAACTTCTAGAAGAAAAGTTGGGAGGAAATCTTGGTGACCTTGGGTTAGGAATGATTATTTACAGACAAATGACAAAGGCATGACCCATAAAATAAAATATTTATATGTTGGATTTCATCAAGATTAAAAACTTTTCTTCGGGATAATGAAAAGACCAGCCACAAACTGGGAGAAAATATTTACAAATTATGCATTTAATAAAGGACCTCTATCCTGTATATATAACAATTATTGCAACTTATTAATAAGAAAACAGACAACTCATTCACCAAAATGGATAAGGGATTTAAATAGATAGTTTACCAAAGAAGAAGCATAGATGGCAGATAACCACAAAAAAAGATATTCAAAATCTTTAGTCATTAAGAAAATGCAAACTAAAATTTCAATGAGATAACAGATACCACTATCTACCTACTAGAATGATTAAATTTCTTTTTCTTTTTTTCTGGTAGTAATACCAAACGTTTATTCAGAAATGGCTAAGTAATACATAGTCACCATCATCCCTTAATGCCTCTTCCTCTCCTTTTGAACAGGAGACACAGACAAGAAATGCAGGGGAGTGGGAGGTGGAGAACACAAGCACTGGCCCGCCACCTTCTCTTCCCTGTTTCCCAAGATGACAGCTTGGAGAGCAGAAGAGGC